CGAGTGTGTGCGTGCGCGTGTGGGTGCCCGTGCGAGTGTGTGCGTGCGCGTGTGGGTGCCCGTGCGAGTGTGTGCGTGCCCGTGCGAGTGTGTGCGTGCGCGTGTGGGTGTCCGTGCGAGTGTGTGCGTGCGCGTGTGGGTGTCCGTGCGAGTGTGTGCGTGCCCGTGCGAGTGTGTGCGTGCGCGTGTGGGTGCCCGTGCGAGTGTGTGCGTGCGCGTGTGGGTGCCCGTGCGAGTGTGTGCGTGCGCGTGTTGGTGCCCGTGCGAGTGTGTGCGTGCGCGTGCGCCTGTGCGCGCGCGCGTGGGTGCGCGTGTAGGTGCCCGTACGAGCGCATGTGTTCACATGTATGATGTGCGCACGTAATGCAATGCGCGCACGTTTGTGTGTATGTGTTTGTGTCAGTGGTTTGTGTCCGTGAGTATCTGTGTATGTGCCCCTGTGTGCGTGTGTGTACTGTGTTCGTACATGGGCGTTTTTTATGCGTGTTGGTGCGTGCGTGTTGGTGCGTGCGTGTGTGAATGCGTGTGAGCACGCGCGTGCATGTACGTATACGATTTCGCGACAAGTTGTTGTTTCTGTCGATATCGCCAAGGTTTAACTGTGTTTCTGCGCAACAAACATATTTGTACTCTGCTGCATCTGACAATCTGACACATATTATACGTGTATTATACAGTCCCTCGTATATCACATTGAGGAAGACAGCCGGCCATTAGCGTTTGCATATAAATAATATATTATGTTATAATAATTATATAATGCATATGATATTACGGAGTTGACCGCTGACCATCTTCGTTCCCAGGACTCTTTCTATCGAAGATGGACCGCTGACCGGGGACTTAGCTTGTGGATAGATATATTATAGAACCAAGCGCCGCTTTAGTGCTTAGATGAACTCGTTTATCGAACCATCTTGCCTTGAGGAGTTCTCCTAAGAGTCAGTGTCTACGTTTCGTTAGTTATGTTATGTTCAGTTTTAATGCATTGCTATATAACTGTTCTCGTTCTGTTGCAGAATGGTTTCTTCATCGTTGACAATAAAGCTTATTTGATCATCGAGAAGATTGTTTCTTTAGATATATAATTATTTATTTACATGGTCCTTCATAGATCCTAAGTCGAGTTACTTGGCATTAAATGAAAGATATACTATAGAGATTTCGCACGAAGAAGATTCACATGAAATTATATTTATTACGTGAAAGCAATTTTATCATTCTCCAGCTGCCAGTTGTTTCGTGGGAACTCACAGTTACATGAGCAGTTACACTAACGCATATTTACACAAAAACATAAAAGATAACACGTAATTATGAAAGAGAGTTCGTAAGTATCAACGACGCAAAAAACAATGAACGAACCTGCGTGCAAAGACGTTCTCGAAAATTCTCATCTACTCGCGGATTAAAAAAAGAATCTGTAAAAGGAAGTACACACGTACATTGCAGCTTTCACCGGCATCAGATATAATAATAGATATATACGTGTATATAGAACAAATTGTGGACCAAGAAATTCATCAAGTCAGTAACGTAACCTAATTCTAAACTAGTTGGGTTTACAACCGTTATGACGGTGGGTCAAATTCGTGGGGAAACAAGTGTCGAAAGTACAATTCGGCACTATCTTTGATTGTCATTAAGGTGTGATCTCGGTGATGCGCTACTCAGTGACCATGAATTCACTGAAACAAAGCGAACGTTGAGCGAGCCTAGATATTAATTCACACCAACAGTAAATAATTACAAATAATTTGTGATTATTTACTCTTGATTCACATGCACAACTACTTGATGACGGGGGAAATACACCGGACCCATCAGCAAAGTACATAACCGGTTAAAAATCAAAAGAATCGGCGAAATGACCTTGGTGAACACAATACGGGACACGGATATCTTTTAGGACTGGCTTGATATCATTTCCCCTCGTTGTTCTTCCAATAGTACATTTACATTCACACTGCTAACTCGTGGGTGATTCAGTAAAAGATGTGCATGCCGTCATATGTACGACAAAACATACGCAAATGCTTGATATAGGTAATTATACGTGAACACACACACACACACACACACACCGAAAGAAATGCCACCGTGTCGAAAAGAAATCTGGCAGATAAATTTATTGCAAACACACTTCCCCACAATTTTGCGCTGGTCATTAATCGATGAACGGACATCACACGGAAATGGCGGAGACATTCGAATTAGCATGCTCATCTTTGTAAATACGACTTCTAAGATCCAACCAGAATTTCCACGTACCAGCGTGCAGTTTCTACTCAAAGCTGCCGAGTTTCACATGCTGCCAGAGCTGCATAACGATCAAGGTACGTACACGTTACAGCGCGAACACAATGCCATTGTGGATAGAAATCGATTAAGCAAATGACACAACTGCCGGTAGACTGGCAATATAACATGAAAGCGAGGGAACTTGGTTGATAACCAAAGATGGAAGCCGATGGAATTACTATTAAAAGAGTATGATACCCTTGTTTTTATAATACTGGTTGACGAAAGATACCATGTGTCTTTTGAGATGGGCAATATCCGTGCTTGCAGAGATTCAAGACATACACTACATCTCCAAAATTAATAATATGAAATGAGAATAGATCACCATCAGTCACCCGCAAACAGGCGTACATTTTGATCAGACACAAGTATTAAAATAATGCAATGTAAATGCTGTTCTATACAAAAGTATATATGCCTAGGCTCACACATACATAAGAAAACAAACGGTTGGTGCAGCAATTCGTGCCAACTCTTCTACAGAGCCATCCTTGTGAACTCTATTCCGGCTACTTCGATGTGCTTCTCATACAACTAGCAACATCACATTCATAAACATCTAATTTACTCGGTAATACCTAGCCAATATAATCAATATATTGTTCAATACCTTAGAGATAAGTTATCTCAAATAACATAGAGAGAAAAAACAACAGCTACTTGGCAAACTCGCGCGAAGGTCTCAAAATGGCCGACACACGCAAAGGCCATACGATTGCTACTCTCTAACCTTGTGTTAAGCCACAGGACAGTAAGACATGTTCCTGGCAATACAACATTATCCACCTCTACTACTGAGTATCAATGAATTTAGTAATGGCAGCCACGCTCTTGCAACATATCGCTCAAAACGTCGCTAAAGCGTGGCAACTCGAAACCATCCCCGGTTGTCTGGCAAATTCTAGCACTGTTCGTGAGCGCTAAAAGACCTTGAATATTAAACCTGGCACATTTGTCGATTACTCAAAATTATAGAAAGAGTTGAGACTAGTATATTAATACAGAGCTCATTGGGCTTAAAGATTTCCATATCTCCTGAGTTAGTCCTCATATAGAACTTTGTGCAGGCTATCCCATCATAACATCTTTGAATGACTCGTCTGTTCTTATATAAGCCAACATGAACTTCACGACTATGTGGTGTCATTGCTTCGACCGGATGAAACAGCCTACACAACTAAGCAAACCGGACGTCTTATGGGAAGAGTACATACACTTATATGAAACAGCACAATCTTACATACGAACACGGTGGGCTGCACGAAACCTGGCGAAGACCATAGTATGATAAACGATACAAAAAACGACTGTAAAACAGTACACGTGCTAAAGTTGCAATAATTCCCTGAAGAAGACTCCATCTACTGATAGACGAGATAAAACAAAATTATCATTCGAATAAATCTAGAGAATTCCCATGCCAATGACTCTGGAAGCTGGCACGTCCAAAATAAAATACAGAGAAGTGAAATAAATTAGGTAGGCACCTCACGAACTTCATTACCAACACTTGACAAGGCGAACGAGTGAGATTCTTCAGGGTAAACTGAAATATCCGACACCACTATCCATCTAAATAGAAGTTCCACGTAATCCACTAATCTAATGCTAATATGCTAATGGCACGGCGGACCCACTATAGACACACAGCATAGAATTGGCTATCATAGATCACAGGAAAGTGTAATAATATATATGTATATACTCGCCAAAATTTGTCTATGTACATACATACATGCATACATACGCACGCACAAATGCGTGAACACGCATACATATTTGTATATTACACAGACAGACATCATGGCGAGTGGTTAGAACACATAAAGCCAGATATAAGGATATAAAGATGTACAACACGTGCTAGAGTAAAATAACTTGATAACACGCATAGAACACAAGAGGCACAAGATGATAGAGCAATGCGCACAACTCCCGCGATAATTTAGAATCTGGAAACGCAAGCAACCTTTATGCGACACGTCAATGCATATGTGCGACTGTGCATGCACGTGTAGGTTTTCAGTTAAATATTCTGCAGGTAAATTATTGCCCACCTTTAGCATTTCGTCTACGAATCGCATCGGACGCCGACAAAGTATTAACCCGACCATTCCCGACGACAGCTGCAACGTGCAGGAAATCATGACGAAATCATGACGAAATCGCGACGAAATCGTGATAACGAGTAGCAGTGGTGAAGCCAACAACGCCAAAGATCGGCGGCGCGCGGCACTGGGAGCGAGACCGAGACGTCGCGCTCCACTCTCCGAAACAAATCTCCGCCGCCACGTCTTCACACCGTCGCGCGTTCCGCCGCCAGCATCGGGCGCGAGCGGACGGATGCACGCCGCCGCCGGATGTCTCGTCGAGTCGCCTGAGACACAAACGAGATGCCAGCGATACGCGCCTGAGACGCGAACGAGACGCGCCTGAGATGCGCCTGAGACGCGAGCAAGACGCGAACGAGACGCGCCTGAGATGCGCCTGAGACGCGAGCAAGACGCGTGCGAGACGCGCCTGAGATGCGTGCGAGACGCGAGCGAGACGCGAACGCCGAATCCCGATCCCCACCCTGCGCCGGCAACGGGCCGTCGTACGTCCGCCCGCCCCCCGGCGCCCTCTAGTACATCGGTGGCTGGTAGTCCTGCTGGCCGAGCTGCGGCGCGGGCTTGCCTCCGAACGGGTCATCGGGGAAGCCGGGCTGCGCGTTGTCGTCTGCCGCTCCCGGGTACGCGGAGTAGCCCGGCGCGGGGGCGCTGCCGACCGAGTCCGGGTCGTAGGCGGGCGCGAACGCCGAGCTGACGCCGTCGCGAAACCGCTTCACGGCGAAGAACGAGAGGCCGGCCTGTAGAGAGAGAGAGAGGAAGCTGGGTGAGAGAGAGAGAGAGCGAGAGAGAGAGAGAGAGAGAGAGAGAGAGAGAGAGAGAGAGAGAGAGAGAGAGAGAGAGAGAGAGAGAGAGAGAGAGAGAGAGAGAGAGAGAGAGAAGCAGGGGGTCGTCGCGAGCGAGCGCGATTTTCGTCTTCTCGCCGCGTCACGCGGTGAGTGAGCACGATCACACGCAAGGTTAGCTGACGCCCGTGTAGGACTGCCGCTTGTCTATAGCAAGGAGCTAAATATAACAAGGAGAGGAAGTGGATTGACTGTGTGCTTTTTGCCTCAAGGGTGCCATCTATGGACCATAATCAGCTGAAACGGCAGACCGAACGCAGAGACAATAGAACACTATCTGTTCTAGGGTCTCTGCCAAACCCAAATTTTGGCCAGATATGGCGGCGCTTCCTCTCCTTGTTATATTTAGCTGCTTGTCTATAGAGGAGAACACTTTTGGGGTTTCGCCTCCGAGCGGCAGTTATATGGTGAAACAACCTTCATGGAAGAATGAACAGCTGTCAATTAAGGGCACTTTTCGAGTTTCATCCAAGTGAAATTTACACATTGAAACCACCTATATAAAACAGACACCTGTCTATAAACTACACTTGTTAGCTTTCACTTCAGTTACTCATATATATACATATATATATATATTGAGAGAGATAGATATATAGAGAGAGAGAGAGAGAGAGAAAGATATATAGATATAGATATATGTACAGGTTTGACTGTAATTCTAATGAAGGTAAACTGATCTGGGTCCACGTAGCATTAATAAAAAAGAGCAACACTGACCTAACGTAACCAATGTGACACCAACTAGCTTACACGAACTGGTCCAATTCGACCGCACAGCACGAGTAACTTTCAACCTACGTGTGCCATTACGAATACGATTCATACCAATTACTAGTGATGTCACGATCATCGATTATACTCGATCATCGGTTGAACAGTGGCTCAAACCAAGCGCTTGGTTTACAAAATCCATAATCAATTTCAGAAAAAAAACAAAAAAATTCGAAAAAGTGATGAGAATCAGAGATATCATCGCTACTATACAAGTTATCCTTTCTTAACATACATGTATTATACACACAGTACTTAGTAAACAGTGCAAAACAAGCACATACATGCACACACGTACATGAACACGACGTTACTCACACGCAGGCATTCAACACCCCGAGTAACCGATTGTAACCGATCATCGGTTACTTGGGTCCAACCGATGATCGATTACGAAATTACAACCGATTGACAACACTACCAATTACCCAAAATAGACTCATGATTCATGCAGGAGAAGTAAACTGCACTGCTGCTCACCCATGTGAAGATGGAGAAGAAGGAAAATGCGATGGCAGCTTGTACGTTGTTCTTTCCGAAGCCGTCCGCTGGTAGAAGTATAGTAGGTGTCTTGCTCCAAGTGTTTGCCAAGAAGCAGAATCCAATGAACCAAAGAAGCGTCCACAGCGCTGTGAATACATCGCATTTCACGGTAACATTTACAACAAACGAGCGCTTTGCACGTTTTAGTACCTGAACAAATTTCAATTTGATTACATGCATCTAATTAACTTACGAGTTACAAGTACTTAGAATCAATCTACAGTACGTTGAAAATTTGTTAAAATTTTTTTGGGTATATTTGATACAGATGTGAATTAAATGTTTATACAGTCAATTATAATATCAGAATGATTTTGTGGATATATTTATAGCACTGTCTATCTTACACAAAAACTCAGATAAATTTTCTCTATTTTCGATTAGAAAAACGACTACAAAAATCAACAGCGAACAATATATTGACAAAGTGAAAGTTGTACCTAAAACCTAGTTCTGCCTGGATAACGATTAAATTTTTCAGGGGTCTGGTGTGACACATTTTGAAACCCACAACAAAGGGAACTTCAGGGATTTCCCTCAACTGACCCTTATACGCCAGTTATTACTACACAACCCTCTCCCCCCTCCCTTACTGCCCCACATCACCCAGCTTAACCACAATATTTGAAATGGTAGTAATGATAAAATATTATAGGACCATCGTATTTAGCCATATTCTCCAAAACATGCACAATTCGAATTTTGATTACCGCCGCCATTTCTTGCGAAACTCAATGTCGTGCCAATTTCAAATTAGAAACAGAGTAATCTGCACAGAATCAGATGCCACTTTGTTTGAACTGGGTGCAGAATGGGTGCACTTGTAACTTTTTGGTATACTAAGGCACCATTTGCATATTTATTGTTGCTATAATCAAATATTCCATGATGTTATGGCGTGTTCAATTCTAATTTTCTATGCTACAACAGCAGGAATTCTTAGTGCTTTTCAAGTTGGTGTAATCAGTAATATATCTGCTATGAGGTTAGACTACATTCAGCTATATTTTATTCAGATTGTGCGTTTTGGAGCAACGATTTCGAAATAAATCCGTTAACAACGGTCACCCAAAAACATCATGTCACCCAGGACGATGTGTTTCAAACCAATGTCCTCAATAATATATCTGCTATGAGGTTATACTACATTTAGTTATATTTTTTTCGGATTGTGCGTTTCTGAGCAACGATTTTTAACGACGGTCACCAGAAAGCACCATGTCGCCAACGACGACGTGTTTCAAGTTGGTGTAATCAGTAATATATCTGCTATGAGGTTAGACTACATTCAGCTATATTTTTATTCAGATTGTGCATTTTTGAAGCAACGATTTCGAAATAAATCCTTCAACAATGGTCGCCAGAAAACATCATGTCGCCCAGGACGACGTGTTTCAAGTTGGTGTAATCAGTAATATATCTGCTATGAGGTGACAGGGTTTCTTCTGAGGGAAACTTAGACAAAGGAGATAATGGCCAGTTTGGGGAAAAAACGCGCATGATGGATTCAAAGGCGTGCCGTAGGCCGTAGGAAAAGTGTAGACCCCGTGTCTCATGACCCAATAAACGCACATGGCAATCTAAATATGCCAGAAGCACGTGGTAATCTATTTATTTTTGGGTTGACACTGTTTTGACAACAAACGATGTTAAATTTGACAACGGCGGTGCGCCACCGTGCCTCTTATGTATAAGAAACCCTGGGTGAGACTATATTTAGCGATATTTTTATTTGGATTTTGCATTTTGGAGCAACAATTTCAAAATAAATCGTTTAACGACAGTCACCCGAAAATATCATGTCACCCACGACGACATGTTTCAAGTTGGTGTAATCAGTAACATATTATATATCTGCTACGAGGTGAGACTATATTTAGCTATCTCGGATTGTGCGTTTCAGAGCAACGATTTCGCAATAAATTCGTTAACAATGGTCACCCGAAAAGATCATGTCGCCGACGACGACGTGTTTCCGCGTCTTCACGCTCGTGATGTTCTCGAAGAGGGCGTCGGCGACGAGGAACCCGACGCAGCCGAGGAAGGCGAGAACGCCGATTCCGGTGCCGTAGTGGCACGCCGAGCTGTTCATGTTATACTGGCACACCTCGTAACCCTCGTCGTCCTGGAACCATCCCTCCGACGCTATGCAGCTGAACACTATGAGGCTGAACACCTATAGGGAATGCGTGGGGGGAAAAACACGGGTGTTACCACGCAGCATTTGCATGTGGGATCGGTCATGTCATTATAGGGTGCGCCAACGTTGCGATGCGAACATGCATGCGACATCGCATTGGTGACTAGTTTGTGATGCACTTTGACTTAGAGTTATTTTTTAAACGTCAAAAAGAGTACTTCTGATTAATTTATTAAAATGCAAAAACAAACTTGCACGCAACTGACTGGAAACGCACTATCATGAAAAATCCAACTCTCCAACTCGTAAATCAGGCAGTGGTTTATTACAGACAAGCAACGCAATTGCACTTTTTGGACTATTATTAGCACAATTCTTTTTTCAACTGGTCTCAAAAACAGTGTCAGTGAACCGCAAATTTGTGACGTGACTTTCATATAAATGTCATAATCATATGAACATTTGCGCCGAATTTTTCAACCCTTGACAGTTGACTCCCTCTGCCTCTGGCTCCGCGATGACACAAGATAGCCCACTAAGTATTGGTTTCTGAGGTGTGTACCGTTTCGATATACATAAATGGATCTTGACACTCACCAAAGATAGCAATCTTAAAATTACTGTTGGCTTCTTAATAAATGTAAGCGGGTCAAAAGGTTGACCAGCTGGTCCCGCTCCGTACGCCAAGTTTCCGTCCATCATGACTGCGGCGTTCACTTGTTTGTCATCAACAAGTAGAGTATAGACTGGTACCCGTTCGCCACCTTTACTCCGGCATATATCCTTCGCTACACTGTCGACCGGGTACCAGTCAACAAGTAGAGCGCAGTGACAAGCAAAGATCGTAGAGTGAACTATATGCCTACGGCAATGCCTACGGAACTCTAGAATCTTTGGTCACAAGTGACAGGCCTATGGTAGTAGGTCATTGGTCGCTAGAAGCGCCATTTATGTTATCACTTTCACAATATCAGCAGATACAAAGATTTTTTAACACAATATAAATAAACGAATAACACGAATTCTGATTTTTGCTGTGTGCCGATTCGTCATGGCTTCTACGTCAACAAGCTCAGCTCACTGTTCTGCTCCAAATTGCTCGAATCGTCAGTGTAAGCGACCCGACCTGTCTTTCTTCAGGTTCCCCAAGAATACGGAAAGGTAAGAAAATAATATTTTTTTGTCGAAATCTATCGTGAAAGAGTTGTGCACTGCAATCTTCGTTGATACATGGCGTAGGGCTCATAGGGTCTATAAGGCGCGTTCACACGGACGTTTTTGGCCCGAGCCTAATTATGCTCAAGGGGTCGTTGTCGTAACCACTGGCAGCAAGATCAAGCCCGCACGTACAGCACACACGCGGCGCCATTGACTATATATACAACTCGTTGTATATATTGTCAATGGCGCCGCGTTTGTGCTGTGCGTGCGGGCTTGATCTTGCTGCCAGTGGTCGTAACAGGTACTACACAAAGTGTACCAGACTTGTACTACAGAAGTGTACCCTAACCCTAACACTAACCCTAACCCTAACCCTAACCCTAACCCTAACTCTAACCCTAACCCTAACCTTAAACATACCTCATATAAAAATATAAACATAATACTAAACAACCTAAAACTACCTCGGGTACATATCTGTAGTACCTGTTACGACAACGACCCTTCGTGCCCTAATTAGGCCCGTGCCAGATTTGGTCCCATCAAAAACGTCGGACCAGGCCCGAGCCAAATTTTAGCACCAGCTTTCGGCGAGCGGTAGAGCGGTAGAATCGGTTGAGCGGTAGATACCGCGAGTGTCGAACGTGTAGTTCGACGAAATAAAGTCCAAAACAGTAAAAAAATTCGAAAAATTTGATCAGGATGCAGCACGTTTTCAAGATTGATAATTAAACTCGGAAGCACGTTTTCAAGATTGATAATTAAACTCGGAAGCACGTTTTCAAGATTGATAATTAAACTCGGAACGTAAGTAAACACTGAATCGTAAACAACGCCATCTCGCGATCATACTGCCAAAGTATCTGTGAGATATTTGTGCAATAAAATTTATTTGAATTTGAATTTGAATTTGACTGACAGTATTCACTTGCGTACGTGTGAACGCTCCGACTCAAACCGGCCCGAGCCAAATTTGGCCCGAGCCAAATCTAGCCCATTTGGCTCGAGCCAAACCATGACCGTGTGAACGCGACTATATCTAGCTTGAGTCGGAGCGTTGACACGTACGTAAGTGAATACCGTCTGTCAAATTCAAATTCAAATTCAAGTAAATTTTATTGCACAAATATCTGACAGATACTTTGGCAGTATGTCGCGAAATGGCGTTGTTTACGATTCAGTGTTTACTTACGTTCCGAGTTTAATTATCAATCTTGAAAACGTGCATCCTGATCAACTTTTTCGAGTTTTAACTGTTTTGGACTTTATTTCGTCGAAGTACACGTTCGACACTCGTGGCATCTACCGCTCAACCGATTCTACCGCTCTACCGTTCGCCGAAAGCTGGTGCTAAAATTTGGCTCGGGCCTGGT